TTTGAATAAATTCTAAAAATATTCAAAAAATTTAAATAATTTAAAATTTGCTTTATGTAGTGTTTTACAAATGAATAGAATTAACGTTGTTTCACTATTATTTAGCTGTATTTCTTTCACAAGAAATAAAACATCAAGCAAATTGCATCATAGAAACATTGGAAATTCCTAAAGTGTTTCAAAGGGAAAATCAAGGTTTTAGAATGTGAGACTAAAATGTTGTTGCTAAGTGTTCCTTTAAAAATCTCAACCATGTCCCCCAAAATGCCCCAGATATCATGTGTTTTTTTTGTGTTGGCACAGAAATGAAATTTTAATTACATAAAATATCACCTCATTCCTAATTCCATAGATAACTGACGTGATACTGATTCTGGAGGATTTAACTTTTAATGTGCCATGCAAATATTCTTTTTTTGTGTGAGGAGTAAAAAATAAGAACACAATGCTTGCATTCATTATAAAGCAGTTAAGCGCCTTCCTTTTCTGGATTTCATGAATGATCTAATGAGTTAAGGACCTTTTCTCTCAGTCTTCAGTCAGTGCTCTGTTCCCATCCCATGACAGAAACCAGTTTTATTTTATTTTCAGTTAAAATGAAAATAGGAGAAAAAAAAAACAGAAACAGTTTTTTATTTTTATTTTTAAGTTCAAAGTATACCATAATATATTTCTGACTTCAAAAATGAGTATTGATCCAAAAATTCAGTGTAAACATGTAAACAAAATTGTCTTTTTAAAGAAGATCTGTGCTGATCCAAACAATGCATGCTTACCCTGTAGACCAAAGCTGCTTTATCCCAAAACTAATTTCTGATATTTGGTGTTTAGCACACAAGCATTCTGTGAAAAATGTGCAGATATAATACATTCCTTCTGAGGAATATAGTGTTCTCTTCCTTAAGATTTGGAAAAGGGGGAATGAACATATCTTCAAATTGAAATGCAGAAGCTTGAAAATGAGGGTGCAAAAAATCCATTTATTTTTAAAACACAGAAGGAAATTAACACCACTCAAAATTATGTCTTATAACATGACTCTGGTGGAAAGTGTCCATTCCCTAGGGTGATTTGGACTGCAGGTTCATGAAATCTCCCAGAAACCTTTAAATTCTAGTTGCAAATCAAGCAGGGAGCTTTTTTTCTTTATCTTTTTCCCAAAACCACATTGGAGATGGTAAACGATGGCAGTGAGGTTATTAGCTATTTTCCTAGCAATGTCCATCCTCTTTGTCTCAGTTGAGTAGTTGGGAACATTCTGTGCAGCTCCACCAGATATTGAATGGACTTTCTTCATGGAGAACAGAAGATTGTCATGGCTAGACTTTACAAGCACTGGTACAGTGAAATTTATGATCCATATTTTAGCGTTTTCAGAGAACATTTAAAATTATGATGTAATACTTGAAAGTGTGGGTTGATAAGACCATACTAACCATGGGCTTATCAACAACTATATAAATGTGAGCTAACTGTATAATCTTTCTAACCCTCAAACCGTTCATTATTAGAGACTGTTCTACAATGTCATTAACAAAAGGAGAAGATACAATAATCCACATAGGACTGTACTTGACACACACTGATTGTCCAATAAAAATGCCCATTTAAAAATAATCAAATGATGAGGTATAATGTGCTTAGAAATATAGATTTCTTCAACTCTAATGAAATTAAAATCATTTTTACATGAACACAAGGAAACAGAGAGTTTCAGGCCACTGGAAACATGTTCATAAGTACTTGAAGCAGTGCTGACAACATGTACAAGACCCATGCAAACTTAATCAGACAAAAATCCAGCGTGGAGCAGGGAAAGGTGAAGCAAGTCCCAACCCTAGCCAAGGAGCTAGATAGGCTGTCTAGACTGAAGTGTATGAACTTGCTCTGAGGGACACCTGGATAGAAATGCTTGATGAGATAGGACTTAACATATATGACAGAATACCTGAAATCTGGTGCGGGGAGCAACTATGGGGGCTGGGGATGGGAGAGCTGGTCTAAATTGGGTTAAGATGCATTATATGAGCTGCACAAGGATGAAATAAAAATTTTAAATGGAAAAAGTGAAGAGAAAACCTCTATTTACCTTTTTGTCTTCAAGTTAAACCCAAATCAGCCAAAAAAGTAATAAGCCTCCTAGTTCTCTAATAGGATTTTGTTTTTATAACAGAATAATTTCATTCGTTGTCTAGCTCTAATATGTCTTCATCCTGAACTTTTAAAGATTAAATGGTGGAATTTTCAGAGGTGGTCTGAAGAAGACAGATGGAGATCTGTCATGTTCTGTACCATTTACAATAACTGATGTGAAGCATAGAATTTATCATTTCCAAATCTACATGTCGGCAAAACATCGAAAGAAGGAAAATAAAGGTAAGAAAGGGTGCTACAAGTTGTAAAGGAGTCTTCTGACTTAACTACATCCAGTTACCATTTTGATGTTGTGAACAGTATTAGTTTCCTGCCTTAGAATATTTGGGAAAATTGAAAAACATGACGCTACATACATTACCACTAGGTACTTACGTTAGTACTAGTGATGGCTTGCATTCCTCCTTAAAATGAGCTGCATCACTAAGTCAATGAAAGAGGTGCTTCAGACACCCACTAAGACACACATTAGTGAAAAGGGAAAGGCAGAACCCCTGCATAATAACAATAAGAGCATCAAACTCAAGGAGCTAAGGCAATCAGCAGAACATCCATAAAAGCAGAGAATAACCACTGAATGCATAAGAGGGCATGTTACTGAGCTAGACACCAAAAGGAATATTCTTGCCTAGACAGAGAAGGAATAAATATTTTACTGGAAATAATGGAAAATATAGTGAAAAGAATATGGAACTCAACAGAAAGGGTAATTATAATGAAGTGTCTATAGTTGCAAAATATTAGCTGTTATGACAACCTGACCACTAATCCTTATACTAATCCATATATGTATATATATAATACACATATATATATATAATGATAGTAATCCATTTATGCACATAAATATACAACAAAACACTATATTCAGAACAATTATTTTAAGAATTAGAATTGTATCTGAAAGTAGTGGTTCAGAAAGAGGGAGCACCATGTGGTTAGTGGGGAAAAGGGAGGTAAATTTCTCTTGCTACTGGTCCAGAAATCTGACTTCGTTCTGTAAGAAGCATGTGGAGCTTGAGATACAGCTTCAGTACTTTCAAGGTAATGACTATTGAACTAAGAAAGACCCTGGGCTCTTTATGGAACTATGTGTTACACCTGTAAGATTGATATGAAAATCAAAATCACCATAAATACAAAGAGGATCAAGGGGATGGGCCCATGATGTGGACATTTATGAAGTTAACTGTGGTTTAAATGTTACTGTAAAATCTATTAGTCTTGTATTTCTAACTTTCTAAGTGACTTTTGCTTCAACCTCTCATGTTCTTTTTTAAACTTTAGATAACACTCAAGTATCATGTGTTTGAACTTGTTTCATTTTAATTTTCTTTCAATTTGGGCATATTCATGTTAGGTAGATTAGTCCATAAAGGCACTTTATTTCATGAACAGAACACCCTTGGACCAAATCAACTGCCCCAAATGTTCTTTACTTTCCCTCTTCTCCTTCTCTCCTTCTGTTAGCCCCTTTCCTTTCCAAATCATCTTCTATTTTCATGTCATATAAATATATTTTCATATTTATCTATCTAAAGTCTAGGATCAGGAAAGGAGAGAAACGGTGTCATAATTTTTTTTCCTAAGTCTGTCTTATTTTACTTAATATGATGATCTTCAATAAATAGAATAATGGATAAATATATACAACAAAATAAAAGCATTAGTTATTATATTTCCCTTCCAGACTACAAACTTGTTTTAAAATATTAGTGTAAATGATCAATTATAATTTTTATTCTATTTTGCTCACTTAATATATTGCAAAGTTAGTCATCTTCTAAAACCTCATATTTTAATTAGTATTTTCTTGATATATAATATTAATATCTAAAGCTAATCACACTCTAAATTCTCATATTATAAATGGGCCTTTTATTAATAACATACAATGTTTATTAGAATCTTATTTACATAAAAGGCTTTCTATTATGGAATATTATAGATATTTCTCACCCTTACAACAGAATGGAATTGCTGCTTTTAAGTGAGCAGGACACAAAGTAATAGACAACTTGCATTTTTGTTCATTTTGTGGCTATTTAAAATGGACTCTGAACAGTAAGTGGTTTTCATGCGAGAGATTATTTTTCAGCTCTAAAACAAATCAAATTATACTTTTATTGAACTACTTTAACTAAGAAAAATATGCTCATGTATACCCAACTATCCACAAGCACATGTTGCCTGACTGATACATATCAGGAACGTGCAGAGGGGAGGATGAAATTCTCCTTTGTGGTTGTATTAGAGATATCTATTTTATAAAGAATGAATTGATTCATTTAAAGGCCATAATCAATTTAGAATTTTAAAGACACTTTGGATAAAGAGAGATTATTTTCATTGTACTCCCCAAAAGTGCATTTTTTTCCTCCTATTTGCAGATACGGTTGTTTTCAGATGGGAGCCGTTTGCTCTTCACCCCTGCCTGCACTCCTTGACAGTGTCACACATACGTAATAACAGCCCTCACTTACCCACAACTTGCGTGGTCTGAAGAATGCTTCTCAGTTGAGGAAGTCACCAATAAATCATCAAATCTCGCATTAGAAATAAAATCACTAATATTCAATCTATTTTAACATGTATATATTTCCATCTCTCTGTATAGAGGCTCTGTGTCCTTTAAAGTACTCAGTACATGACTGATCTCCAACCATTGCCTTCAAGATGGTTCTAATTTTACATTCTTAATGAAATATAAATACTGAATATAATTTTGCACCTAGATACACCAAGCTAATGTTGAATACAAAACCACAATCTGGACCGGATCAAATGTTTGTCACTATTTCAAAATTGCATGACCTTCATACTGTTTCACAGACTCTTTTTTACAAATCATGCGAAACCAGAGCTTTGTAACTGAATTTGTCCTTCTGGGCCTATCACAGAATCCATATGTTCAAAAACTAATGTTTGCTGCATTTTTATTTGTCTACATTGCAACTATTGGAAGCAATATGTTGATTGTAGTGACCATCGTCTGTACTGCTAAATTGCTGGGCTCCCCCATGTACTTCTTCTTGGCATTTTTGTCCTTCGTGGATGTGTGCTTCTCCTCTGCTATCACACCAAAGACAATTGTAGACTTGGTCTATGAGAGGAAATCCATCTCCTTTGAAGGGTGCATGATGCAACTTTTTGTTGAACATTTTTTTGGTGCAACAGAGATGATTGTTTTGACTGCCATGGCTTATGACCGATATGTGGCCATTTGCAAGCCCCTGCACTACTCCTCCATCATGAACAGGAGGCTCTGTGGCACTCTGGTGGGATTGGCCTGGGCAGGGGGCTTCTTGCACTCCACCATCCAGATTGTCTTCACTTTGCAGCTGCCCTTCTGTGGACCCAATATCATTGATCACTTTATGTGTGACTTATTCCCGTTACTGCATCTAGCCTGCACTGACACTCACCTCTTTGGCCTTTTGGTGATGACCAACAGTGGGTCTATCTCCATCATAGTCTTCTTCTTGCTGCTTGTCTCCTATGTTTTCATCTTGTTATCTGTGAGAGCACACAGCTCTGAAGGGCAACATAAAGCTCTGTCCACCTGTGGATCCCACATTACTGTTGTGGTTTTATACTTTGTCCCTTGCATACTTACATATGCACGACCTCCCACTGCCTTCTCCTTTGACAAAATCATAGCAACATTTTATACTTTTCTAACCCCTTTGCTTAATCCTATAATTTACACTTTTAGGAATAGGGAAATGAAAAAAGCCATGGGGACAATATGGAAAAGATTGGTGCTGGGATCTGGTGAATATTAAAACTGTTAAATTTAATCTTAAAACAAATGTAAGAATTAGGAATACAAAATTGTCTGATAAAATTTCATGCAATGTTAAGTATCTATAATATGACAAAGGAATCTATAAAACCAGCTTGAGGGGGATTAGACATGATTTTTCACTTTTCCATTGGTCATGAAGCATGAGTTGGTAAAAATCAATATCTTCTTGTGCAAATTAAAGAGAATTAAATTTTATATTTACATAGAATCACATTAAAATATAAATTGCCTGTTTGGCTGTTGTCTCTCAAATCCATGGTTTGAAAACATATGTAAAAGAAGAACAAATTATTATAGACATTTAAGTCAAAAGTTTTCTCAAATGACTTGAAATGAAAATTTTTCATATCTTTGGACCCAACTCAGTTCTTACAAAAGACTTTTATTATTTATATTTGTCTCTTTATTGGACCCCATGTTGAAGATGTTGTGTGAATTTTGTTCCTTTTGTACACTGTACTAAATTAGAAGATTTGAGTGTCATACCTACATCATATAATATGATAAAATTAGCAGAATCTATGGTACTGGAACAGTGTCAGTATTTAGGCAAAGGTCTTCACGCCTTAAAATAATGAAATGAGCTCATTAGCAAAACAAAGCCAATAATCACAATGAAAGCAATCACTCCAATTGCATACAGTACACACTTTAATCTATATACTTTAGACAAACTGAATTATCTAACATGCATAGGAACTTGGACTCTTTTTTTTTTTCTAACTCTTTGCTATTTACTTCTAACTGAATATTAAAGGACTTGATTATTGAGGTGGGGTTTGAGGCTAGGCAGTGTAGTTCTAAATTGTTCACTCTATTCTTAGGAAAGGGCAGCTCTGGTTTTGTTTGCATCTTGAAAACCTTGTATAGGAAAATGACCTTCTTTAATTAAAGTTACAATTCATTGTTTTACATAATTTATTTTCCCCATTGAACAATCCTATCTTCTGGCAGCAGTGTGTGGAAGGCACAGATGTTGACAATTTTAAAAGAAATTCTCATTTCAAGAATGTAGTGATGATGGCTTAGGGAGTTCCAGAGAAGACTTAGCCAGGTGTGTAGTTATATAGCTTTGCTACGAAATTTGAAATAATCAAGCATTACTAGAAGGAAGGTGTTCACATTTTATATCATATTCTGGTCATCAGTTTTGTATCTGTGATTATTGCCAAGAAAATATGTTGGAGTCACTGGAAGCCAATGAACATTGGAAACCTGATCCATGATGCAGGATATTGAAAAAATTATGTAAACCAGAGTCAAGTAAGTTGCACTGAGGACCGGTGGAGTTATCATTTCAATTTGGACAGGCCCTGAAGAGAACTTAAGATGATTAATGAGTCTGAAAGGAGAGAGACAATCCTAGAGAGATGGAAGATTCTTCCATTGTCTAGATTGGGCAACAAAGTAAAGTGCTTCCTTTCTTTTCATAATTATAGATGTCTACCAATAATCATAACACCACACTGATTCAGGAATTTTTTTACACACAATTTAGTCAAGTTGTATACATATGTGTGTGTATTATATAATGCTGTTATATAAAGACAGTTTTTATAAACATATTAAGCTGATGGGCTGTCAGAGACAGTTTTCACAGATATAAAAGTCCTGATTTCCCAGGTCAAAATCTCAAGTGATTTCAAAAATTTTCTTAAAATCAAAACTACATAAGAAACAGAAACACTTCTTCAGGGACATTTGTGTAGTTTGAAGACCATCATGATGCTTTGGGCACTCTGAAGTACATGGTTTATCCACGAAGATTATGCATTGTGCTTACTTTCAAATGTGTAGATCATAGTGTTCAACTGTATTTCAGGAAAAAAAAAAAACAGTTGCTCCTCTTCTTTTTTTTTTTTTTCAAATTGGATTAAGTGCTTTCCATCAGCAACAAACAACAAACTGTTATAATTAACATTAAAGACTGTTAGATCCAATGTTTATATTTTTGAAGTATATTTCAGTGCTGCCTACAGTATTTAATAGAATTGATTGTCTTTTCACAGCCACAAATCAGAATTATAAACTTTGTTTCAGATCTTCTATACTAAATGTTCTTTTTAAACATTTGCTTAGGAATATATTGAAATGCCAGCAACTGTTGGAATTGTGTTCTATAAGAAACATCTAGTGGATTATTTTAGGATACGTACAGTGGTAGAAAATGGCAACTTTTAAAATACATGTTTGTTTGCTAGAATATTTATTTTAACAAAAAGTACATTAAAATAGTTTAATAGATTGCTGCAATAACACCTGCAATAACTATCATGGGAAAATTTTTCAATTCAAAATTGGTGTACATGCTTTGCCATTGATTGTTGAGTGAAGACGCTCACTTTAAATTTTTTCTTACTGGCAAAATAATTTATTTTTAAATTAATTTATTTTTTCTTGAAAGTTTTTTGTTCTGTATTGTAGGCTGTCCTGTCATTATGCTTTCTATGTTGTTAGTAGGAGGGAAACTGACTGTTGTTCCTAAACTGTTTTAAACAAAACAAAAGTGAAGTCATTTAACTCCTGTTGAGAGCTACTTCAACAAACCATATTTTGGACCTTCATTTTTGCATATAAAGAAATATACTTTTCTCAAAAAAATTAGACTGGCATTGTATAACCTAGAGGAGACTTGATTATATAGATAATACTTTCCAGATGAATTAATGAATTTTCCTGTGCCTCCATGATGGCAAAATCTTTTCACAGAAATTAGTACACTGACTCTAAAGGTGAGTATGGATTTGTGCTTGCATTTGAATAACAAAAGACTTTGTAATAAATATTGTTAAAATAACGATGGACAATGAGACCTACAACAGATAAGCATATATCTTAAAATTATGTTTTGTTTAAAGTTTGCTGTAGACTCAGTTTTAAAACGAGAATTCTAAAGAAGAAAATATATAACTCAGAAATTGAACAACCCTCTCTGGAAACTTAATATAAACATTGACGAATGGATGGATTTTAAATAGTGGGGAATTGGAGAATAGTGGATAATTCATGGAAAGTCAAATAGCTACCCTCATGGTCGTGGTTTCTCAAATGTTTGACCATGGGCCTTTGATTTTGTCTATATTCTGACTTGAATTTGGAAAAAATAGTCACCAAATTTTCTAAAACTAAGGAGAATAAGAGTATGGAAGATGGACTTTGGTCAATGTACATTATAATCTGGTATAAAAATTCATTTGTGAAACTCAGTACTATGTACACTGAATAGATACAAAAAAAATAGAATCTATAAACATTCACTTTCTTTTTTTATTATTTCATTTATTATTTCTGCTTTATCTGTATGAGTGTATTGCATGCATATAGGTAAGTGCACGCATGTCAACCAATGCCACAGAGATAAGAAGAGGGAATTGAATCCCCTGGAACTGGAGTTAGGACAGTTGTTAACCACCACATAGTTGCTGGGAATCGAACCCAGGTCCTCTGAAAGCACAGCCAGGGCTCTTAACTCCTGAGCAATCTCTCCAGCCCCAAGCATTCACTTTCATTTCATTTTTTCTAAATACAAAATGAAAAAAATAATCTAAGTGATCTAATGCACATATTCGTTATAGACATGGTGACAGTCCTAAATTTGTAAAACTGACATTTTAATTGATAATACACAGATACATATAATACATGAATCCATATAGTAGAATTCTGTGATACTTCAGAGGCAGGAGGATTAAGGGATAAAAAGATCCTAAAATCTCCTGTTGTGTGAGCAATAATAAAAAGAACAAGGTTGAGGAACACTGCTCTAACCTATGATTCAATGATCAAGTAAGAACATGGAGTAACCGTTTCAGAAACTGGCCTCTCTCCTATGGGGATTTTTTTTTCTAGAACTTAAAAAAATACTTTTACATTTACTTAGAATATAATAAACAAAGCAGAATGCAAATCAAAGTTATCAGTTGAACTCCTAACTGTATAGTTTGTAAACATGCACTTACACAGTGTTCTTGAGAATGTAACAGTCAAGCCATAATGGAAGTCATTATAGAGATTTCTAGAAAACGAAAAATGGATATTTCCTAACATTCATCTCTACCACTCTTGGGTATTACTTGAAGGACCCTTAAATCAACATAGCACAGAAATGCTTACACACTTATGCTTTCTACATCAAAATTCACAATAGATAAGTTATGGAACCAACAAAGGAGTTCTTTGCCAGAAAATGGATCAATAAAATGCAATATATACTCAGGATGACAATTTATTCAGCTATAAAGAATGAAAATAGCTCTCTCTCACAGGTGGGTTCCAATTCCTTCACCTCAAATCCCAGGACTAGCTTCCCAAACCAGACTAACTAAGCACCCTACCATAGATTCCTAAATCCTCACTGAGGTGGCCCCCTCATGGCCAACTTCCTAGCCTCTGGATCAGGCAGAGAGGCCTCCTCAGCCAGGACTTTGGTAAGTCAGATCCAGCTTTCTGACTCTATATCCCATTTCATTCATCCACCCAACTCTGTCCCCTGCTGGCCTCTTTCACAGGTTGGTTCCAACTCCTTCACTCATGATGTCTAACTATCCCATTTCTTTTATCCACCCCCACCTTGTCTCCTGCTGGCCTCTCTCACAACTGGTCTCCAGTTCCTTCACCTCAAGTCCCAGGTCTAGCTTCCCAAACCAGATTAACTAAACACCCTGCCATAGATCCCTAAGTCCTCACCCAGGTGGCTCCCTCACTGCCAACTTCCCAGTGACCCTGCCAGTCAGACAGACCTGCTCACTCAGGAATCTTACCAGTCTACTACCCAGCAAGAACTTGAAATACCCATCAATTTGTTTTCATACCTAAACAAAAAGTAAGCTACAAAAACAATATTAACAAAACCAAAATTAAACAAAAGCAGAGTAGAAGTTCCTGTTAAACACTGTTCAAGTAAATTTCTTCTTTCTTGCTCTCTGTTTGACCTGCTCTCATTCTATCAGGGTCTTCTGCTCCTGACATGGGTGGACG